AGATTGCTAGATTGTTTTTGAAAACATTCATCTTCTGCCATATTAAATACGCAATTAACACTGAGTTTACTTAAATAAATAAATAAATAAATAAATAAATAAATAAATATATATATATATATATATATATATATATATATATATATATATATATATATATATATATATATATATATATAGGGATGCACTCAGGTGTGAATAAGTGCTCAGGAGGGAAATGCGAACGAATCAGCGCGCGACACGTGTCCAGATCTAATAACTTAAAAAAACACGGTGATATTTTCGTAAATAGTTGAACATCGAAGTGCAAGTAAAATCACTAACAAGTGCACCTACTTTCACCTATAAGTGCATGTAATTTTGCCTTGTTAGCATTCACTTTTCGTAAACATTCATGCACCTGGGTGTGCTTATAACTATATGTGCAACTATTTATAAGTATAGGTGCAACTACTTATAACTATAGGTGCACCTACTTTCACCTATAAGTGCATGTAATTTTGCCTTGTTAGCATTCACTTTCCGCAAACATTCATGCACCTGGGTGTGCTTATAACTATATGTGCAACTATTTATAACTATAGGTGCAACTACTTATAACTATAGGTGCACCTACTTTCACCTATAAGTGCATGTAATTTTGCCTTGTTAACATTCATTGATATGAGTTCAGCGGGTAGTAATACCCCTGAAAACCACTCGCAAACATTCATACACCTTGGTGCAACTACTTATAACTATTTGTGCAAATACTTAGAACTATAGGTGCAACTAAGTATTGATACTCAGTGTAAATTTTTACTTGCACCTATAATACATTTTACATGCACTTGTAATACATTTTACTTGCACTTCGATGTTCAATTATTTACGAAAATGCCACCGCGTTTTTTTTAAAAAAAATTAGTGTTTCTCATCCATTAGATCTGGACACGTGGACGAACAGAATTCATTCCTATTTCACGCTTGGATGAAGCATTCGCACCTGAGTGCGATTATATATATATATATATATATATATATATATATATATATATATATATATATATATATATATATATATATTATAAACATTCATTTATGTACCTAAATTTTTTTAATTTGGCTTTTTTTTTAATTATTTATGTCAAAATGTAGTTTTCATCTGTAAAAAACTTAATTTGGACACCTTTTGAAGGATTAAAAAAATGGCTTTGGTATTTTCTACATTTTTTAAAACAATTGAATATTGAACCTTTGATTGTTACCATGTCAAAGAATTTTATGGTTTTTAGTTATTTCCAAATTCCAATGCCAAAATTGTGTTGTGTAAGGCAGTTTTTGAGTCTTAAGAACACACAGTTATCTCAAATGACTATGATCTCAAATGACTATTATACTGATTGTTTTTGCACTTTACTAACCACTGTGAAATTTTTATGAGAAGCTATAGTAAGATGGATCAAGACAAAGTCCCATTGATAGGTAATTTTGTGCCAATCAGTTATAAAATTTTTGCATATAGCTGAATTGAAGTAATTTAAGCCATTTTTAATAATATTGTTCTATTTATTTTTGTTATTTAAAAGCTGTTATTTTTGTTATTTAATAACTATATTTATTTTGTATGAGAAAATTATGACTATTAATTGACAGAATAAAGTCAATAAACATAATAATCAACTCTATTATTCAGCATATTTATTTAACCTTCAAAAACAGTGATTATTCACATTGCCAAAATTCAGCCCAAAAAAAAAAAAAAAACAAAAGAAAAAAAAAAAAAAACCCAACCCAAATATCCTTAACCCTAATCCCTTAATATTGCGCAGCTTGATACTAAAACCCTCCTGCAATAATCTCTCTCTGTTTTCTTCATTCACCGGCATTCCGCCCTCATCCGACTCTCGACCTCGGCCCTCGGCTACTCCAGTTCTTCGCCCTCATCCGACTCTCGACCCTTTTGTTTAAATTAAAAAAAAAAAATTTCCCAGAAAATTTGACCCTGGTTAGGAATAAAATGCTGCTGAAAATTTGATTAGCTACTCTGAAGCAGGAACTTGATGTACGAAGAACTGATCGTTGTTGCTGGGTATTAAGAGAAAAAGAGGTAAACATATTTGCTATGGACGCTTTTGAACAATATTAGTAGAAGCAGAAACTACAGATCAGAGAAAAAGAGGTAAACATATTTGCTATGGACTCTTTTGAACAATATTAGTAGACGCAAAAACTACAGATCAGACCTTTTGAGTATATAGAAAGTAGCATGTACATGCTATGAGAAAATCTAAATTCCATCAAAGACCTAGTATTTTAGTCAAATACACCAAGTTGAAAATCTAAATTCCATCAAAGACCTAGTATTTTAGTCAAATACACCAAGTTGAAAATCTAAATTCCATCAAAGACCTAGTATTTGTCACTACACCAAGTTGAAAATCTAAATTCCATCAAAGACCTAGTATTTGTCACTACACCAAGTTTTTTTTTTCTACCTTGTGCAATACAATCTCATAGAAAACTAAAATGAATATCTGACTTAGATTATTTTTCTTTCCTCTTGCCTCCTATTGTAGTGGTTCCTTTCAATTTTCTTCATGAATGTTAAATATAATGATTTACTTTTGATTCTAAATCTGACTATACTCTTTGATGATTTCAGGTCTCAATGGAGTTTGAAACCTTCATCAAAAGTGTTTCTAACAGTACTGTATATGCTCTTGAAACCTTTAAAGAAGGTTATATTCCTATCAGTTTTGCCTCTCCGAGTCCACTTTTTCGTCATAACAAATTAGAAACACAATAAAAAGTTATGAAAATATCATTTGCATAAATATAAAGACTGATGGACGAAAATTGTCCGCGATGCACGGTGTAAATATTATATTAATAATAAAAAAAAGTGTTGTTTTACAATTTTTTTTTTTAAAAGATAATATTATTGAAAGAAAGAATAGATTACAAATTATTTAAAACCTCCGTGTAGACTTACATTAGTAGTAGAGAAAGAATTATTTTGTGATTCGTGTAATTTAAGACTAAATCTCTACATAATCTCAAATCATACCTGATATGATTATTGACATTGTTTATTTACACATAATTATGGCTCCAATTGGGTACTTAATGTATCGAGTGGTTGATTATTAATTTATAAAGAAAAACAATCAAATGGTAATTCAAAGAATTACATATTAGTATAAATTTATGTAACCAAACCCAATTCATTAATATAAATTTAACTAACCCAACCCCACAACACCAGTATAAAGAGAAAAGAGAATATCAATCAAACCTTGTTCGACAGTTTTGATGCTTCTTTAAATAGAGTTTATTTCATTTGTATAAATTCTTCCAAATTTGTTGTATTTATAATATTTATAAAAAAAATAATATTTATAATATTTATAATAGAGTTTTCAAAAATAATATTTATAATATTTTTTGTGTATTACTTTAACTAATTAAAGGCAAATGATGATATTACATTCTAGGAAAGAATGATATTACATTTTAGGTCATTATATAAAACTAAATAGTACCTAAGCTTTTACCAATGCATAAGTTTAGTGTGCTAATTTCACACATGCAATTGTCTCAAAGTAAGGTAATATCAACAATGTCTTTCCCTCATTTTTCTGGTAACTCCATAGCTTCCATCCAACAACCAACAATGTCCTGCTCTAGTTTGCTCCGTAGCAATTCTACTGCTCTCTCCAATGCCTAGATCTCTCTAGTAACTACCTCTCCGATTCAATTCCTTTGTAAATATGTTCCTGGCTATCTTTTCGTCTCCCTTGATCTCTCTGGTAATCTCCAAAAACATTCACCATGATCTCTCTGGTAACCTCCAACAACATTCACCATGATCTCGGATGCTAATCAAACATTCCATAAAAATATACAATGCATTTGTTGATATCTATACTGGAGTAAAGGATAAAAATAGTACAAAAAGTAATTTTCAAAAGCTCTAAACAATTAATACATTTTGATGCCCAAGATTTTGAACCTCGCTATAATTTGAATGGCATTTGGTAAACTATTAATGAACTAATACTGCTACTAACAATTCGATTTATACATACTTGCTATGTTCATTGCAACAGCCAACAATGTTTTGAAAATTGAAATTAGCTATAGCATTAAATGCAATGAATTCCTTAAGCCAATCATACGTCTGTAGCGTGTAATTACAGAAACTTGATTCTTTGTGAATATTTTATTTTTATTAAATGCATTCTCATGAATGAATACACTGCTTTAGTCTAAAACAAAGCAGAGGGAAAAAAAATACAAACAGGGCTATCTTTACAAACAATACTGGCAATCAAAACTATTTGAGTCTAAACCAAAGCATATGAAAATAAATACAAACATTGCTACTATCTTTACTGCTATCTCATATCTTTCACTTGCAAAAAAATATTCATAACCCACCAAAATATTAAAAACCACTCCGAATTATTTAATTGTAAATCAAGAATGACAATGATTTAATGACAAAGCCAAAATGCTAATTATTTAACTGTAAAGCCAAGAAATTACAAAAAAAAAAAAAAAAAAAAAAAAAAAAAAAAAAAAAAAAAAAACTAATGAAATATTGCATACACCACTCTTGAAATAGGAATGAAGAACACTACTTTTTTTAAAACAAACACCCACCATATACAGCCACCCAGCCACCCAGCCACTCAGCAACTCTTTGCTGCAAAGTATCCCCATATAAGCTGCCTGCATGCTTTTCCAAACCTCAACAAACAGCTCACCTTAAAACATAGATAAGCATGCTTTACCAAAAGTTGTGGCTTTATTATATTTATATATATATATATATAAATATATATATATATATATATATATATATATATATATATAAAATATACACATCGTATGAATATATATAACTATAAAAATATGCAATGATATGATGTGTGTGTACGTGTAACCTATCTAAGAAGCATAATGAATATATATTATAAAATAAAATATAAAAATAGAGGATGAAGGATCTGGAAGCTTATCCCCACCTTGTCGCAGTCTCGCCCATCACGCCTCAATCCTCTTCTACTCATTTCTTATCTTCATCCTTGCTCTTTCTCTCTGTCTCTCTCTATCTCTCAGATGGTTGAATATTGCTTAGCCACTCTCAATACATCACAAATTTGACAATCATACTACTTTAAATCTAAGCTAACAGTGAAGACGAAGGCTGGGACTATCATCGTTGTAAGTATAATCTATCTATCAAATGTATTTAATTCGTTTAATTTAGCCAAAAAAAAATTGTAGATTTATCTGTATGAATTTTTTGAACTCAAAGTCTGAGAAGGCATTATCTATGAATATCTTAAACGATCTTGAGCAATAGGTTCACTTAATCGTCTGTCTAAGATTTTTTTTTTACTATAAATTGTGAAATGCATGCGTTGGTAGCCTATTTTATTTCACGACAACGTACTTGTTCTATGATTATTTTTCTTGATTATTGTAGATCGATGAGTTTTTTCTTTCTTCTCTTTACCACAAATGCTTCTTAACTGTTTCCTTCCTGTTTTGTTTTGACATTTTGCAGAATGAGAAGCTTAAAAAAGGCGTTTGAAGAAAGATTGTTCAAATAAGTAGATTTCGTATATAGTAATGTATACTGAATACTGAATAAAGAAGTAAAATTGTATTTACCTTTGTGAATTGAAGTAATGTATATATATATATATATATATATATATATATATATATATATATATAAAAGTAAAATCCTCCTAACAAATTTTCCCCCCAAAACTTAGGGACATTTTTGTAATAATAATAATAATAATAATAATAATAATAATAATAATAATATAATAATAATAATATACAAACTAATGATTTTGTCTTAATTAATTCCTCCAATTAAGTTGTTACCAAAAGTATATCATTTCTTACCAATTCAATCAAAATATTAACCAATATATATATTATCATCACCATCAATCTCTTTACACCAATATCATCTTCTTCATGGCTTCCAAACTCTTTTCAAGTCTCTTCCTTCTATTAGTGGTTGCTTCATGTAAGTCTATTCATCTTTTATAAATAACACCCAAATTTGATTTCCTGAGATTAATATGAATACTTTTACTTCCTTCTGTTGGTGGTTGCTTCATGTAAGTCCATTCATCTTTTATAAATAAGACCCAAATTTGATTTCCTGAGATTAATATGAATACTTTCACTTTAATTTGGCTCTATGTGTGAATTTCTGGTTGTATGAGTTAGTAGTGAAATATCTAATTTTGATTATAGTTGTTGTTGTTGTTGTTACCGAATATTTTAACAGAAAAATTCTAGCATAGTCATCTTGCTGTTCCGTTGTCTCATCATTCAAAGAATCTCATACTCATCTCTCTGCTTTCTTTTCGTATGAAATTTCTACCTTTTTCTAACTATATTCCCCGTACTTCAATATGTTTTGCAGTTTGTATGGTATGGTATGAGCTTGAAGATACTTAAGGAGGCTCTACTTCAACAAAAGGAAATTGAGGAGGAAGAGCCTTGGTAACAGAACCCTAATGGATTAGTTTTTTGGAAGATTGTAGAGATGCGAAGAGATTTTTTTTTAATCAGAAGTTTGTGTGTGTTTTTTTATACAAATTTATAATTGTATATTTATATGAGATTTTTTTTAATTAGAAGTTTCAGTGTTTTTTTTTTTAATACAAATTTATAATTGTATATTTATATTAATAAATAATTATTAAGACAAGTATAATTTATTTTATATTGTGGACACATTATTTTTAATAAATTTGATTTAATAATAATATACCTTAATTATAAAAATTCTACCTAATAATTTTAGTACTAAATGCCATACAATAATTATCACATAAACAATGTTTAATAATTGACAAATTCTAATAGGCAATAAAATTACTATTATAAAATCAGTGACTTAATTAGTAATATATGTATAGTAATTTATCGTCTAATTATTGACTTAACTATTATATATAAAACCAACTTAATGATGTATTAATATTTTCTGCATACACTAATATGAAGTCTGGATAATTATTTGATTAATTATAATTAATTCTTTAATATTTAATTTCTTAAAATTATTATATTACAATAATTTCGTATATTGATATGTAGATTTTTTGATTTTGTGGATAACCGAATAAAATGTGATAAAATGACTTAATTAGTAATATATTCATAGTAGTTTGTCTAATTATTGGCTTAATTATCATATATAAAAACAGTCTATTAAAAGATGTGAAATGGCGTAATAATATTTTATGTATACACTAATCTGAAATCTGGATCATTATTTGATTAATTACAATTAATTCTTTAATATCTTATTTCTTAATATTATTATAGCACAATAATTTCAATAAGGGAAAATGACACTTTTTCCCCCTAAGTTATATACTTATAGCACTTTTTTCCCCTCAATTATTTATGTAAGCACATTAGCCCCCTCAATTATTTTAAAAGTGGTTGTTTTTCCCCCTGATATATTAAATTGACATTTCTACCCTTAAAGTAAATATTTTATTTATTTTACTTCTCCAACAAATTATTGTGTATATGTAGCAATGACCATGGTTCGGTTCGAACTGAACCGGACACTATAGCAATCGAATTAAAAGTTTCCGGTTATGACTCAGATCTAGAATCCAATATTTAGATTTCAATTTATTAAATTTATGAACCAAAAAAACTGGATGAACCGTGAACCGGCGGTTCCGGATCCGGTTCGTGATTTTGAACCGTCTTTATTTTAAATTTTATTTTATTTTTTATTTTAAAATAGTCTAAATTCAACAATAAATGTATTTTATTTTTTCAGTTCGGAACATGAACCGACCATTTTGATTTGCGATTTTAATAAACTCTAAATATCGCGTTTTGATTCTAAATTGTAATTGGAATATTTTGGTTTGGTTGCTATAATATCTGTTTGGTTTGAACCAAATTATAGTAATAATTTGTTGGAGAAGAAAAATAAATGAAATATTTATTTTAAATATTTATTTTAAGGGTAAATATGTCCATTTAACATTTTAGGGGGGAAAAGAGCCACTTAAATAATTCAGGGGGGAAAAGTGCTATAAGTATATAACTCAGGGGGAAAAAGTGCCATTTTCCCTTTCAATAATATGTAGATTTTTTTATTTATTTTTTTTGTGGACGGCCTAATAAAAGGTTATAAAATGGTTTAATTAGTATTATATGCATATGTATAGACGTATAGTAGCTTCAAAAAAGTAATATGTCTATAGTAATTTGTTTAATTATTGACTTAATTACCAAATATAAAAACAACCTATTAATTACCATATGAATAATAATAACTGTATAGTAATATGAATTGAATAATTTTTAGTGTAATTAGAATAATGATTATTACTGTACTAATCTTGCCATTATTAGCTTTACTACACTTAATTCTTTAATTAGCAAAATAATAATTTCTTAATTTTACTAAAATCTATTCAACTAATTTATCACTGTGGGTAAGTAGTGAGAAGTCCAAACACTTTTTGTGTAGTACTATTGACTCGACAAATTATGCTATTGAATCGTGTCCACCTTACAAGGTAGACACGGTTCTAAGATTGTTCAATATTATGAATATATATAGTTCAAAAATTATGAGCAAAAAAGTAATATATCTATAGTAATTTGTCACTTAATTACCAAATATAAAAACAACCTATTAATTACCATATCTATATCTATATCTATATATATATAAAAGTAAAATCCTCCTAACAAATTTTCCCCCCAAAATTTTTGTAGTAAAACTTATTTGGTAAGTAAATGTCAAATGGAAATTAAATAAAATAAATAATAATAATAATTTTACTACCTTAAATAAATAAATTATTATACTTTCCTTTTGAATTAGTATTTTCTACCTATAAATACAAGGGCTTCTTCAATCAAAGAATCTCAGACTCATCTCTCTGCTTTCTTTTTGTATGAATTTTTTACATTTTTCTAACTATATTCTCACGTACTTCAATATGTTTTGCAGTTTATATCGTCTGGTATGAGTTTGAAGATATTTAAGGAGGCTCTACTTCAACAAAAGAAAATTGAGGAGGAAGAGCATTTGTAACAGAACCATATTGGTTTAGTTTTTATGAAAGATTGTAGAGATGCGATCGAGGATGATAAAGACGGTAATTTTGATGATTTTGTAAGATTTTCTGAAACTTAGAGTTAGTATGTTGATTTTGAGATTTGTACATGCCATTCAAGTTTCTATGTTTTTTTTAACAAGCATAGTTCATTTTACAACATTTTTATAATATACATACATACATATATATATATATATATATATATATATATATATATATATATATATGTATATATATATATATATATATATATATATATATATATATTTATTTATTTATATATCTGTAGTATAATATAATATAATAATAATAATGATGTTATTAACTTAAATAAATAAATAAATTATTATTCTTTCCTTTTAAATTAGTATTTTATGCCTATAAATATAAATTAGTATTTTCTACCTTAAATAAATAAATTATTTTGCCTAATTTATATTATATTCTTTAAGCTACTTTTGACATGATATCTTCGTAGCCCATTTTATTATATTGAGCCTTGGTACACAAGTCCAAATCAAATATATGTATGTACACGCATAACAATAATCCTAATCTATCTATATAACTATAATTAAAAGTAAAATCCTCCTAGCTAAATTTTTCCCCCAAAACTTAGAGACATTTATGTAATATCATCCATTATTTATATATAGATTTATTATATGCCATTATATTCAAATCAAATTATAGTAATTTTATATTCATCTCCATTTATATTAGATATATTCCTATTTCCGTGTATTATAGGACTTCAATATATTAGGCATAATCAGACTCAAATCAAATCAAATTATAGTAATTTTATATTCATCTCCATTTACATCCTAATAGTATTCCACTATTCCTATTTTCGTGTATTATAGGACTTCAATATATTAGACATAATTAGACATGCCTAATAACATTTACCGTGCAGAATATATTATTATATTGGTTAAATTTAATTATGGTGAATATTTAATTTTAATTATGACCATTAACATTCAATATATTAGGCATAATTAGACATGCCTAATTTTTATTGTGGGGATGACAACTCAAAGGAGTGCGAATCGTAAATATATGTGTATTATTTTTTTTTTTCATGTTTATATTCACTACCATTATATTTTTAATATATATATATATATATATATATATATATATATATATATATATATATATATATATATATATATCATATTAATACTGTATTTTTTTTCCTGAATAATTTTAGGCTTAGTTTGTTGATGTATCAATAACATTGTTCAATCTCTGTGAATAAGGATTATTCCTTTGTTGTGTAGTACCATACAGAATTTACTATACAATCATGTAAATGAAAATTAAAAGTTTCATATTTAGGTCTTATTAATATATATGCAATTGCATATATTGAAAAAGTAGTATATAAATTTAATAAAGTATATTTTATTGGTAGTTTTATTTTAAAAAAATGCAATATTTCGCAACTATTTCAGGTAAGCACTTTAGCAAGTTGTTTGTATATTATATTTATTAATTACTTTATTATTTTTTTTATTTTGTGAATATATTTCATGCATGAAAATTGAATTGTAGATGTATCATATCCAATTCTTTATCATAATATTCTTTTTTATTTTATTGTGATGAAGATTGTATTTATGAGTTTAGACATGGGATGGATTAACAACTATCATATTCTTTTTAATTTAATTGTGATGAAGATTATACAGATGAGTCATGAGTTTAGACATTGGACAAATTAACATGGATGTTAGTAAAGGATGTGGCAACACCTAACTTGCACAATTAATATATAGATTAATTAGTCTTGGTGTAATCAGAATTACTAATAAATGAGAATATAGATTTTCTTTTGTTATTTACTAAGATGTTTGTAATAATTTGTTATTTTAAAACAGTGTATTAAAAGTTTATTATTTTAGCTAATTACCCATTTTAAATATCAAATCTTATTTAATTGATAGTATGTTTTTGGAAATCAATAAAATAATAGTATTTTTTTTTTCAATTGTAATATCGCAATGTTTCCTATATTACATAACAAAACTTTAAAATGAATAAAGGTTACATATCGTATTTACACAAGAAACTTATTTACAATAATAGTTGTTAGTATCATAAAATCACTTCAACATAGAAATATTAAAAAAAAATTATTATTAATAATTAACTAATTAATATGTATTTAAAAGAATCATTGACTGAGAATAAAAATGGCATGAAAAGTAGATCAATTTGAAAAGGAAATGATAATTAATACTTGATTAAAAATGACACAGAATATATTACTGAAAATAAAAATATATATATAAATATGTTATTAATAATTAACTAATTAATATGTATTAAAAAATCATTGACTGAGAATAAAAATGGCATGCAAATTAGACCAATTGAAAAAGAAAACGATAATTAATATTTGATTAAAAATGGCATAAAATATATAAATTCTAAATATATATCGACAATTATATTAATAATTATAGTATAAAT